CCGCCCAGCATCCTATTCTGTTTATTCCACTCACCTATGTTCTAAGCTATGAGGCCAAGCAGTTGGTTTATTACTTAACCAATGAAATCAACAGATTGATATGACACTCCCACATCAGAGGGGGAGCTGCTTCCCCTTCCTCAATGATGTGTGGGGTCAGCTCAGCATGGCCCTCATTCTTCAGCACATGACTCCATACATGGTTTGCAAGGGCTCCTGTGGTAACAAGGGCCATGGACATCGACACAGACCCCTGCTGCATCCGTCAGCACCAAGCACTGAGATGTGGCCCGCAGTAGCAGCTTGGGCCCAGTTGCCACCATGGCCCTGGGTGACAGCAAAAGCCTCTCAGATTGTAATGGGTCATCAGTAGCATGGTCCCCAGACTCCAACATAGCCCAAAGTGGTGGCCTAGACCCCAGGCACCTGCACAGCCTTCAATGGTAGCAGGAACCATGAACATTGTTGCAGACATTGGCTGTGATAGGGCCACAGACCCAGACATGGCCCTAGGCAGCAGTTTGGGCCTGCACAAAACCCTGGGCCCGGGTGGCAGCTCAGACCACTCAGATTTTCATGGCCCTAGCAACTGCACCTCCCTCAACCCCCAACAAGGCCACAGGTGGTAGCCCGGAGACTGGGCATCCTTGTGGCCTTTGGTGGTCACATGGGCCATGGACACTAAAACAGAGGGACCCTGGACCCAGACATGGTCCCTGGCAGCAGCCCAAGCATGGATGTCACCATGACCCTGAATGGCAGCATAGACTACTCAGATTGTGGTGTTCCCTGCAGTGGCATGATCCTCAGGCCCCAATGTGGCCCGTTGTGGCCCAGACCACAGTTGTCCTCAAGGTCTTTGGTGATAGCAAAAGACACAGACATCAACAGAGATCATACCTGTGGCAGGGCCACAGACCCAGACATAGTCCTTAATAGAAGCCCAGGCCCAGATGTCACCATGGCCCTGGGTGGCAAGCCGGCCTTGCATATCAGCCTGCTTCTCGCTACCCTCCCTTCCTCAGGTTTGCCTCTCTCCACAGGGCACACACCATTCTGCCCCCCTCTCTTCCGTGCCCATCACACATGGGCTCATCATGATGGTGCCCAACCACCCTGTGCAAGGAGGCCCTGGGTGGGGCAAGTGAACCCAGGGAGGCCTATGAGTGTCCTTTATATGCTGGGTCCCTCTGTAATCTTAAATGATAGCTTTGTTGGCCACGTCAATCTTGCTCAGCAGTTACTTACTTTCAGGGCGCCT